TGATAATATGAATATTATAAGCTCTATAACTTTGACTTTAAGATTTTGAGCAATCCAGATTATTACATTAAAAAAATACAATTTTTAAGTGATTCTATTATTAGTACTTATTCACATTCAGTTTAATAGTTATAAAGTATTATTAATATTTTAAATTATTATTAAGATATTGAAAGTTCTCTTTGAATATTTCTTTACTATTTATAAATATCTTTGAGTATTTTGAAAATTAATTAAAATGATAATAGTAATAACAATAACTTTGTAAATTCAAAAAAAATTTTGAATTCTAAAAATAATTGAAAATTTTAAAATCTCTAAAAATTATAAACTCTAAGAAATAAAAAAAATAATTTATTAAATATTTATCTTATCACTATTTTTTATTACTTTTTATTACTTTTTATTATTTTTTAATATTTTTTATTATTTTTTATTATTTTTTTATTAATTTAATTATTTTTTATTATTATTATTTATTACTTTTCATTATTTTTTATTATTTTTCTTTAGTTTAATCATTTTTTATTATTTTTTATCACTATTTATTATTTATTATTTGTTATTTTTTTTATTATTTTATTATTAATTAGATAATTATTATTATTTAAAATTATATATTTGAGAAATATATAAATAAATATACCATTTGAATCTTAATTCAACATATTATAACTGAAAATAAAAAATTTTCTTAACAAAAATCTTTTTTCAAATATTTTCTACCTCTTATATTTTCTTTATATACTTCAAATCTTATATATAAATCATATTGTATCTAACAAATTGCTAATAACTTTATATTATATTGTACTGAGCAAATCACTATTATTAACTTTGGACTTTAGATTGTATTGTATTAAATAAATTGTTATTATTGAATTATTATGCTTTATATTGTATTATACTAAACAAATCATTATATTAGAATTTTTGAATTGGATTATAAGTATTTTACTTTTTGTTATTTGAATTTTTGATTGTTAATGAATATTTTTCATTTATAAGAAGAAAAAAGTGAAAGAGTTTTTGTTATTATTATTACTAATTATATTATTTTAGCTTTGAAAAGTCTTATACAAGTACAGAGAATTATCACTTTTTAAATTCTCTTTATTATTCTTTTATTTTTTTTAATTTTTACTCTTCTATAACTCTCTCATATTATTATTCTTTTAAGTAAATACAATTTTCATAAAAATTAGTATAGATTTTAAATACTTTTTCTTTTTCTTTTAATATTTTTATTAGTCTATCACTTAGATTCAAATTTATAAGCTAATTTAATAATTAGTGAACAAACTTGTAATAATATAATTTAAACTTTATTTGAATTTAATAATTAATTATTATATAATTTGTAAATTATATTCTTTTTTAGTTTATATTATCTATATTTATTTTATATTAATTTATATTTATTTCATACTATTTTATAATTATTTTATACTATATTATAATTAATTTATACTATAATTATTTAACTTATATTGAATAATTTTAATATAGAAAACATATGTTAATTCATTAATATTATTAATTTAATTAATATTAATTATAAATTACATATAATTTTAAAGTGAGCAAGTACTTTTTATATAATATTATTATCAATTAAATTTAGTTTTAGATTTTAATAATTGAGTAATAATTAATTTGTATAAATATAATATATATTTTAGCTTTAGAAAATAAGTTATTAAGAAGTAGTTTTACTTTTGATTACTTTATATTATTTTAATAATTTCTTGAATATTTTTTTATAATTTTTTGTTTTAATTGCAAAGTTATTATTGTTATTTGATTTATAATCTCTCATCTATTTTGCAAAGTTATATTTTTATAATATTTGTAATTGATCTCTTATTTATATTGTAAAGTCAAAGTAATATAATTGAATTAATAAATTACTTTATTTATTCTTATTTTATAAATTAAATCAAAATTAATCTTATCTTTGAATATTTCTTACTCATTTTAGCTGATCAATAAATAAATATATATTATCTATTTTTAGATATTTATATTCTCTCTTTTGATCTTATAAATTCTTCTATTTAATATAATATCATATATTCTCCTGTGACAAAGTTTAAAATCATACAAAATGATAATAGTACTTATAATTATAATCCAAACTTGGAACTAAATCAAGAGATGCATTTAAGAAAAATGTGCATTAATAGAAAATGCACTTAGAAAGATTTTTCTGTACTTTTATTCAATTTGAAGATTATAAACTCAATACTTTTGCATAGTGAAAATCAGCCAGAATTATGAATCTAAAAATATAGAAGATATCAAAAAGATAATCTCACAAAAGAATTTTATAATCCCAATTTTAATAATTAATCTACTTATCATATTCTCGTTTCCTTTATCACATGAAAATCTCATATTAAATAATTTTATTACATAATTTTATTTTGACTTTTTTGATAAGTAGTTTGAAATCTTCTATATAAAACGGAAAATGAAAATAAGATGAAATGAATAATTCTATAAAATTGGTATAAAGCTTACAGTCTTTATTTAAGTGCACAAGAATCGATGAGTTTTTACGAGTCACTAATTCACTATTTCGAGAGGATTTATATAGATTGTTTTGAATTCAAGTTCACTGTACTGGTATTGTGAAGTTAATTGATTTCAAAGTTTGTTATAAAGATAATGATTATTGGTTAGTATACTAATGATAATATTTTGTAGAAACCTCTATTTTTAGACTATGCTGTTAAAGCGCATTAAAAACACTTTAAATACGCTTAAAAAAATGTGTTTAAAACGCTTAAAATGCGCATTTAAATCATTTTTAAAACGGTTTAAATGCGTTTTTAATTGCACTTTTAAAACGCTTTTAAAAGCGTTTTTAACACTGCGTTTTTAAAAGTTTTTTTAAAGCACATTTTAAAAAAGCATAAATATAAACCGTTTTTTAAGCGCATTTAAAACATTTTAAAGCGCTTTAGCAGTGAAGTCTACAAAATAATAGTTTCTGCAAAGTAACATAACGTTAATATGTAATTAAAGCTCTGTTCGTATCGGGTCAGGTTTGATCCGAAAATCGTAAAATAGTTTTTCGTTAATAACTTTTATTTTTACTAAGACACTTGTATTTTGTGTCTTAAGTAGTGTTATTTGGAATGTAATTGTGTATACATCTACAAATTTTTGTTTAATTTGAATTAATATTGAACGATAAATAACGATTTTTAGGCTGACCCGAATATTTCGGGGATTGGAGCACTATGGTGCAGGACATCTAGTCACAGCGCTGGATTTTTTGCCGATCATTTAATTATAATTTGGGCCAGAATTATGATTAATGCTAGTAAAAATTAAAAAATAAATAGGTGTAATGAATATCACATGCATTTGTTGTATTAATGTAGTTACGTGTCACTCTATCAACCAATAAAAACAGTGCTGAATTTGAAAAATTACTAATAAAATAACTTTGCAAGAAAAAGAATTTTTTCAATATCTTTTCATAGTTTTATTCTTTGGTCTATTGGTTATTAAACTATGAAAATTTTTAACAAATATATATAGTATTATTTTTAGTTATTACTTTTTAAAATTATCAGTTTTTGGTGATGTGACTAGATGTTCTGCACTATATATACAGTCAGCACGGAAAGTAATGGCGGACGAATTTTTTTAAAATAAAAAAAATTTAAATAATAAAACAAAAAAAAATTTATTTCCGAAATGTGGTTAAGTAGGGCAACATGCCCACATAAAATATTATTTCCTCCTTCCTTGTCAATACAGGCTTGAACGCGGTCCGGCATATTGCTGATACAGCTAAAGATCAGCTCCTCCGTTTAAGAAATGACCAGATGTTTTCGATCGGGTTAAGATCTGGGCTGTATGACGGCCACGGAAGAACGCGTCCCAACAGCCGAGCTTCGAGATCATTCTTTACATCATTTGATCGGTGTTTTGGATCGTTGTCCTGCTGGAAAATCCAGCGCCAACGACCGTTCATGTTTTTTGCATTGTCATATAAGTGATTATTATGCCGATCCATGTTTTGTGTAAATGTGCACATCCCAACTTTTCCACGTGCACAAATCGCTCCCCACATATGGAGTTTGAACGGGTGTTTTACCATTGGTGCAACAGTTTTTTCACGCGACCACGCCAGGCAAGTGTTTCGGGATAATTGCAGAGTTGTTTCGTCGGAAAATACAACCTTGCGCCAGTTATAATCAAAATGATTGCCTGCCCATTGAAATCGGTCTTCTTTGGCTTGAGGGATAAGAAGAGGAACGCGTCTTGGCAAGGAAGCGACTTAACCGAGCCTAGAAAGCTCGTCACGGACAGTTTGCACACCTACTTCGAATCCTCGGTGTGTTTCTTCGAGCCACGCTTTGATTTCAGCCGCCGTAAGGAAATGATTTGAATTTACGATTTGACTGATGTGGCGGCGCATAAGAGGCGAAACTTTATTTGGACGACCAGGACGACGAATAGCCGGAATTTGTCCATTTTACGAAGCGAAACCACGTAACGTTCACAAGAGCGAAATGGAATACCAGTTTTTTGCGAAATTTCTCTAGCATTACGCCAGCCATTTCGCCAAAACCGCTTTACGGTCTCACGATTGAATTTTATGGTAATAAAAATCGTTTTTTGTTTACATTTTGGTTACAAATCAAATAAAGAATGATGTGAAAAATGTTGCACAAGGTCGATAGCTTTCTGGCAGGTGCTGCCTGACGAAAAATTCAGCAGTCAGTATCACCGCCATTACTTTCCGTGCTGACTATATAAGTCTTAATTAAACTACATGTGCTGCTAAAGTTCTATTTTGTAATATTATAATTAATTCGTGATATTATAAATAATTCTAAAAATCATGTTATTGGTGTCATAGATTATATAATTTTCTTAGTGGTTCATTGTGGTTTTTTGTGGAATAAATTTGTGAAGCAGAGTTGAGGAAACTAAGGACTATTTCTTAGTAATATGTTATCGAGTTGGTGTTGAACAAACTATACTGTAACCAATCCTTGAATCAATCCTTGAATTATAGCACCTATGATATTATCTGACATTGTGGAAATATTGCTTGCTACTGACAGATTTGTTGGTGTTCTTTGTGGTGTTCTTTGCCAGGAACTATCTCCTTGAATTTCAATTTGATTCTTTTCTGTAATATGTTTACGGATTTCCTGGCTAGTAAAAGTTTTTGTTTCTTCTATTTTTTCTCTATAAAGAGTTGTTAGCAATTCCTTATGAGGACCATTGTCGGCAATAGTTGTTAAGTCCCGTTGCAAGATTTGTTCTTTGGTAATAGATTCTTTAATTCTTTGGCTCAAGCTATTTAAACCTTTTGCTTTATAAGTTTTCTCTCCGCAAGAACCCAAAGCTTTCATTAATTCCTTTCGCGAAGCGTCCCTTGTTTCTTCAACTATCTCAATATTGTTTGCTTCTTTTAGCGAGGGATTATTAACATAGATAAAATCGCGACAGGAACGGAATAATTCCACAAGCTCATCGTTTTCTTTAATTATTCTTTTTAAATCGTCGTAAAGCATCCCCTTTTCCTGAAAATTAGGAGCATGAGTACGAACCAGGGTAGTATACTGACTAACACCTTCATCGAAAATAATTGTTCTTATATAGTTATAAACCTCTATTTCCGCTTGTGTAAGTTTGCCATTAGTCACAAAAAGAATTTGATATAGACCGTCCTTAGCTAGGCAAGCGCCTTCTATTATTTTTTTGAGGACTTCTTCGAAGGGTAATCGAGTATTAGAGATACCGGGTGTATCGATAATACAGTACTTGATTCCTTCTATTACAATTTCTTCACTTTGAATATCATGAGTTTCACTAACCGAAAGCTCGCTTTCGGGAAACTTATTAGTATTAGTGAGAATATTGGCAAGGGTAGATTTTCCCGAACCTGTACGACCAATAAGGAGGATATTTCTGACGTTATTATCCAACTTTTCTTGAGAAACCGAACTTGATTTATTTACTTCTAGAGCATCATTAACTTCTCTTTCTAATTTGACGTCTATGACTTGACGAAGTGCTTTTCTTAGTGATGTGTATCCATTAACTGGATTAAAATCAGGATATCTCTTAATTTGCATGTCTTTCGTTATCGGATCATAGATAACCGTTCTCACAGCATACACAGTAAATTTGCTAATAACCACAGCACAATTTTCATTTAGTGGGGTAGAAAAAGCTATGACTTGTTCTACCCTTGAAATTGGCATACCAGGTTTTTGAATTAGATTATCTTTGACTATTTGTTCTAAATTTTCTACCGGCATGACTGTTAGTTTGCTTCGAAATCGAAAGAGGAGCTTGTACTGTTTACGTACGTGGTTGTTTTTTATAACTTCTCGGAGAGCGGACTCTTCAATGTTACGCATACACAGGATAACAGACACAAGTTCGACTAAATGGTTAAAAAGAACCTCTTATTATCTAGATCTACGTTTGATCATACCGAAAGGGCAATTTAATGGACGAACAATCAGGTATGTGTATAAGGATATGGAATTGGCCCAATTTAGGATAGATGTACAACTAGAGAAAGTGTGTTGGGGATAAGATTAGCGTCGGCCAAAAAAAACGAAATGCTTTCAGAAAAACTTTATAAATAATTGCTTGCTAAACTTATGATATATGCAAGAGTCAATACTTTGAAAAAGTATCCATGATGGGTTTATTGAGTTTATATAGAAATTTTTAAATATAAAAAACACTCAAAATTTCATAGTGATTTTTGTTATAATAGATATAATTTATTACAAGTACTGTATGTAATTTTTCTTAGCGTTAGTGATTCTGGCTGATAATCAAAGAACGCGATTAATGTTCAAATAAATGCGATTTTTTGATTATCAGCCATAGGGTCGTTCACGTGATATTTGTGTATGTCCGGAAAGATTCTATGGTAATAGAGGTTATTAAAAGTTAATTTAAAGGTTAGGATAGGGTTAGGGCTAGAGCTGGATAAAAAAATTATATGTAAAAACTCTTTTTTTTAATGCGCCAAGCTGGATTTAGGCATCTGTTTCCCGTATTTTTGCTTTTTTCATTTTCTTGTTTTGCCGTGCTGATTAAAAATTTACGAATTTTTATTGGTTTGTGCCACCAGCAGTACGTGAACTGACCCTTTTTTGCCATGGCTAGGGTCATAGGAGGACTTTCATATGATTAGTTAATTTTCATGGGATCTGCATCATATGATCGATTACGGGTCGATTACACAAATTTGGCAATTCGATGTCGTAAACAATACAATTGTTATTGTGATTGGCTAATTTATATCGATCCAAGCATGATTATTAATCAATCAATTGATACATGTACATACGACTTGATGCTATCTTGTTCAAATGGAATCACTGGATATCAGGTTCCAAAGTGACAGATTCATTTTTGAAATTTCTGGTAATATATTGTAGGGATGTGTATATTTACAAAATTAAAAGATAGTATTTAATATAAAATGAAGTCCAATTCTCTAAGTTACCTATTAAATATACTGTTGTCAAATTTCTCTAATACATTCTCTAATATAGATATCACATATTTCACTGATTTATATTCATCATTATCATTACAAGAAAGATTAACCTCTGGCTCTACCAGTGTTTTTCACTCTTTATTTAAGCTTTGTAAAAATTACAGTAAGAATTAGACATATTGATCAATATTATTTTATAAGAATAAGAGATAATACAAGCATTTAAATATATTATTATAGTAGAACTTATGATATATATGATTACAAGCTAGAACTTTAATAAAAATTATATCAGTAGAGTTAGTAGATAAAAGTAAATATATAATAATAAAAAGAAAAATAACATAGTTATACTTCTAGTATTTTTATTATAATCAATAAAGTAATATTATTAATCATAATTTTCTTTTCTAAAATGAATTCATTTATAATAAAAGTGATATTGATAATTTATAGTAAAATAAATTTCAGAAAAATATTTTTGTATTAAACCTATTATGTCCTATTATAATTCAATAAATTTAATTTTGAATAAAATTCAAATTACTAGAGATTATATTAGCAAATTAAATAATTTTTACTAATTCAGATTACTAAATCTTACACTTTAGAGAAAATGTACTGATTATATAATCATATAATATAAGTGATAATTAAAAAGATAAATATGAATAATTAAATTAATTAATTAGTTTTTTCTTTTTAATTAGTAAATATTAATTAAATTTTTATTATTAAAAGCTTTTTGTTTTATTTTTACATATATTTTATTAATTTTTAATTTTTTATTTTGATTATTAAAGATATAATTATTTTAATTATTATTCTTGAATGATAATTAATTTCTTTTTTAAAAGTATTATTTATTTTTTTCATATTATTAATTCTGTGATTAAAGCTATATAATCATATAATATTAATTATATAATGTTAGATATATAATACTAGAATTACAAATTTATTAGCTCATATTATACAGAATATTTATATATAACTCATGTAGATATATATGCAAAATTTTCCTAAAAGATATTGTTATCCAAATGTAATTGATTAATATAATAAGCATATTTAATAATTTGTTATACTTTTGTATATTTTTGCGTATTTTTATATAAAATATTTTTATTGATAAGTCTGAAAACTTTAAAAATTCAATCTTAATAGTCTTCAATATTAAGTTATTGTTTAACTTATAGTAAAAGATATTAAAAAAATATTAATGATATCTTAATATAATTCTTATAATGAAATCTAAGAAATATTATTCAATATAAAAGCAAAATTTTAAATAAGTATTAAAATTATCAAATTAAAAAAAATAGTATAAATATCCAATATAAATGAAATTATATTATTAAAAAGATTTTTAAGTATGAGATATTTAGTATTTTTGTATAAATATTCAAATTTTGTTTTAATAATTATAAAAATCTTTTACCAAGTACAACAAGAAATTTTCAGATGAAACTTAATGTATTATGACTTGGACTTTATATAAAAATTTTTTATTTTTCAAAGATATATATGTATATTGCTAAAAAAAGAACTGATACTAAAGAAATATTAGTTCTTAATTATTTAATAAAATATTATTACTGTTCTTATGTTGATAAGTAAGATATTAACTAATTATAATAATTAATTAAGAATTATATAAGAGTGATAATAGTGACTGTGTGTACTTGAGAGGATTGAATACTAAATAGTTGGAAGAGAATATTAAAAAGAAATAGATTCTGATACTTTTACTAGTTGGATAAGTATTTTATAATTTAAAAGTGTGAATAATTTATTAAAATACAAAAAATGACTTCTACTAGTTAAATAAGTCAAAGTTAAGTAAATAATAAATTAAAGATAACAATAAGTAAAAGATTAATTAGAAGTATTAGTTAACTTCTATACTTTTATTACTTTCAAAAATATACTGAGATTCTTTTTAATACGACATAATTAAAAGATCAAAGGAATATGAGTCACAACCAATTTTTATTTGATATTATTATCTCAATTCATTATTCGATAATAATTTTAAGCTAAGATACATATTACATATATAACTATTTCTAACTCAAAAAGAACCAATTGGAATCTAACACATTTTCATGTATCATGAGTAACACACAATGTTACTCTAATTTGCCAAGTGTTGCACATTTAAATCTGATGCCAACACATGCTAAAATACTATTGGTACTCCTTTGCTATTACACAATAAAATTAATTAAACTTAATATAATACAAGGTAATACCAATATAACACAAAGAAAAATTAAATACATGAGAAGAACCAATTAAAATATAAAAATAGAACACA